GAAGCAGCTGCCACCGCCACCCCACCCACCACCGCCATGCCCCACAGCTCCACGGGCAACCGCAACTGCAGAGCTGTGCCCGCACAGGCAAGCGGTACTGGGTGCAACAGCAGTGGGCGGGGTGGTCGTCACTCCAGGGCTTTCCTGAACACCTCCCCACTCTCCACCAGAGTGCCCAACTGGATGCACATGGGCCGTGACTGGTGCTATTGGCCCTTAAGAGAAGCTGCATGGGGAGGCGCCGAGCCCGGTCAGGCTCATAGCACTGCTCAAAGTTCAAGTGCAGCTGGCTGGGCACTCCAGGGCTTCCCCACAACACCTCCTCGCTCCCTCAGCCCCCAGCCAGCTTCCCTCACAGCTCTATCCAGCAACCCCCACTTACCTAAACTTACAAGCTTCAGGATCGAACAGCGAGACTGAGCTGAGCCTTGAGACTGATAAAAAGCCTCAGGCCCTGCCCTTCCCCCTTCTCTGTCCGCCTCCAGGCAGGGTTGAGTGCTTCCCACCCCTTTTGCAATCAGCTCTTGCAGGCTGGAACTGTGCCTGCTTGCAGAGCTCTTTGCAAAAGCAGGTAATCTGCGAGTTTCTCTGCTAAAAAGTAAAATCCGCATTTTCTCTGATAAAAGTTGGAAATCCATGGTTTTCTCCATTTTCAATGGAAATTGGAAAATCCAGATCCCTGCTTATAAGGAAAGATTGAAAGAAATAGTTATTTAGCCTGGGGAAGAGAAAATTGAATTGCAGTAGGCAGGGATTTGATAATAGTCTTCAAATACCTAGAGAGGATGGAGATGGGCTTTTATCAGTGGCCACAGGGGGAAGGACTAGAAACAGCTATGAGAGCAGTCAGGCATTGGAATAGGCTACCTAGAGAAGTTGTGGAATCTCTGTCTCTAGAAGTTTTCGAAAGCAGGTTAGACAGCCACTTGATTGGGATGGGTTAGTCAGGGATGATCCCACCATGAGCAGGGAACTGGACTATATGACCTTATGAGGTCCCTTCCAGCCCTACTTTCCTATTATCCTATGATTTAAGAAAAGAAAAAAAAGGTTTTTGGCACACTAGAGAGGAAACTAATCTGGTAAGTGCCTTCCCAATGTCAAAGCTACTGGGGGGGGGAGGAATGTCAAGCCACTTATGCTTTCACAAAACGTTTATTCAGTTCATTTTATTCCTTTATACCAGGGGTGGGCAATATATGGCCAGCAGACCAGATGCAGCCCACCAACTGATTAGATCTGGCTCACAGGGGGTGCCTGCCAACTGCATCTGGCCCACAGCTGCCCCCGCAGTGCTCTGCATGGGGCACAGCCCCACCTGGGGCAGCCTGTACTGCGCTCCAGCCCATGCTCACTGGCCTGGTGTGGGCCACCACGCACAGCTTACTGGCAGGGCTGCTCCCGGGTGCTGCTCTGCTATCCTTGCCTCCAGCAGCAGTTCCTCTCCTCCTGTTCCTGCTGCACTGCTCCAGGTGGAAAGAAAACTTCAGCAATGCCACTCTTGCCCCAGCATGCAGCTCATATGCCTTCCGCTCCAGCTGATGTGCCTTCCACCCACTTGGCCAGAAGTTTTGACGAGTTGTTGCAGCAGTGGGGTACTGATCCAGCCCATGGTAACTCATCAAAACTCCCTATGTAGCCCCCGGGCCCAAATAATTGCCCACCCCTGCTTTATACCAAATGAGCAATGATCAGGGATGCAGGTTTTCCATTTGCCACAGAAAGAAATGTGAATGTTCTACTTGAAAGGAGAAAAGCCTGGGAAGTCGCAGGTTTGCCCTTGCAGTCTGGCCGAGTTCCAGCCTGCAAGGGGCTGGGCAAAGTGGGATGCTACGTGCATGTGCACACATGCACATGGCAACCAGGCAGGGTGGTAGGGCTCCTGCAGCTCCCTCCATGTAAGTCTATTGTGGGGGTGGGGACAGAGCACAGGCAACAAGGCAAGGACAGGGGTGGGTACAGGTGATGCAGCAGGAGAGCTTGGGGCACACATGCCCCTCCAGATTTCTGCACCCACAGTGAGATGCAGGGCTGCAGCCTGGCCACAGCTATTCTGGGGAGCCGCCTCCATGGCCCAGCAGACAGGAGCTGGTGTGAGAGGGAGCGCCATGACACCATATTTTTTATATAATATATATATATTTTTATATAAAATATAAATAATGGATCATAAGGCTCTGCAATTAAATCATGCACCTCTGCTTGCCTCACTTGCACTTTTACTGCTATAAGACCAGTATGCAATCACTACACCAGTAACAGAACAGAAGTTTGGCACACAGACTGGTTTAAAATGGTGGAACCCAGTCTAAGATTTGGCACTCCACCAAAGGGCAAATGTGTGTTTGTTTCCCATCTAAACTACAGAAAACCATACAACAGATCAATTTCACCTCAGGCGTTTTGAATGTCTGTACCTAACCATATGAGAAAGCCAGTCTACACAAGGAGAAAGAAAAAAAAAAAAAAGTTTCCTCCTTTTGTCCACAGGAATTGCATTCCATCACCAGCGTAAGGTCTGTTAACTCCGTACCCAAGTGAAGAGCTTCATCCCACTAAGAACGAGAGACTCCCTAATGAGATCCGGATTATCAGGCTTTGAAATTAACACTTACAATTTGGGGGGGGGGGGGGGGGGGGGGGGGGGG